CGCCTATGTATGATCGTAGAGAAACAAAGAGTGGGGAGGGTGCAAGCAGCAACTAAATCAAAATTTACATATTAAAACTACAACAAAAGACTATTTTCAGAAGGTCTGCCCCCCCCCCCCCCCCGTACAATCCGTACAACGGACCTGTGAGAAAAATACTGATCCTACATTCAGAGTCCCAGGGCACCAGGAAAGAGTGGCAAAAAGAGAATATCGGTTTATTTCAGTCTATAAGTCGAATCAAAATATCTTTTCCTCAAGAGTCTTCTTTCTTTGAGTTCTTCCCAGTGATCGTGTGATTTATTTCATTTAATTTACGTTCTGTACTGGACTTGGAAAATGAGGACATCTTTAGGTTCCTGAGCTGGCCTTGAAGCCCGCAGAACAGATTTTCTGCTTTATGATAAATTCAAGTGATATGTAATACGGTATTAATTTTGTGTTGATTTTATTAATGTTAATTTCATCAAGAAATATGAAAAATTAATGTTTTAACTATACATAGTGAGGCATTTTTTGTGTGGAACGATTATTTTGGGGTTTTCACGATTTTTTCATATGGTACACATGATGTGTAAGTGCAATAAATATAATCTGTGGGGTCTGTCCACAAGTACCTGTTGTCAAGCCCGTAGAAAACAATTACAGTTTTTTTGGGAAGGGGGGGGGGGGCAAATAGAAATTTCCACAGGTACTTGTACTCGATTTTTTCCTATGGTACACATGATGAATAAGTGTAATAAATATAATTTGTGGAAAAAAATGTCCAACAAACATTGGGGTTGAATTTGGGGGGGGGGGGGGGATCCTGTCCACAAGTACCTGTGGAAATTTCTTGATACATAAACAGAATTTAAAAGCATGTATTAGACATCTTTTGAAGGGGAGAGGGCACGGCCGTAATTAAAAGTTATATAGAGACTAGGAAGGAATGAACTGTCATTAAATTTTGGTTAAGAACTATTACCTAAACTCTTCACTTTCACATTTTCAATTACAGATTCTTGTTTTTAAAAAGCTATACATGTACATTTAAATGTATCTATTAGATGCATAAATTATGTTATTAATCATTTTATCTTAAAGGAAAAGTAAAAATCTCAATCAAACTTGTTCCGCATATTATGCTCTCTGATTCATTACTCAACAGATGCTTCATATACATGTAAGAAGGGAAGACTGCAGACTGCAGGTGTGATAAATTCACAGCATGCAGCCCCAGCCTTAATTCCAACTTTGTTCCAAAATATTATTATTCAACGCGAAAAATTAGAATTAGCCGATAGAATATTTTGAATCACTTCGGAAATGCTGCCGTAACACCAGACTGAGTTCACAATATCGAGTGATTTTGATTGACAGGTGTAGCGCCGTTGTGCATGGATTTCGTGTAACTATACATGTACTGCAGATTGTGGTTGAAAATAATAAACAAACAGATCTAAAGAAAAGATATTGTATACTATACATATATTTGTTAAGAACCAGTTCATTCATGAAACGAATTTAGTCGTATTATGTGGGCCCATGTTAGATTTGACAGGTTGATTTACTAGTAGAAATTCAATGGACCACCGTCATTTAGGGTATTCCGAATCACCCCGCACATCGCGACTCTCGGTAATTTACCTTACCGCTGTACCTCGCACGACACATGCACAGGTGTGACAACCAAACAGTCATTATTAGTAAGGTCTATACTTATTGCATACAACAAATAAAGAGGTAAACATAATGCGTTAACTAAAAGAATCAATTATTTTAATTCATTAACTTCCTATCCTTTTCGAAGAAAATGCCCGTGTAGAAACGTATTTCTCATCGATGTCGTGGCGTTGTTGGTGGATGAAACATGGCATATAAGGTATCGATAGAACGGCAATTTTATAAGCTTTTGTTTTTTATAACACCTCAAAAATATACTAGTTATGGCCGCATTTGTAGCCCCCTACAGTTTCGAACCACGTGTGTACATGCCCCTAGCCAAATAAATTGCACACGCTACATGTATACTTGTTATATGTCAGATTATTATTTTTTTTATAACATTGTTTTTCTTAAATGCAAGGGGTATGAAAGTAATGATTTGACAAAGCAAGAGCTATAATAAGACTATCCCGGGTCCCGGTATACACTTGATCAGTGTTGATCAATGTTCATATGTACGAGTACACGTATGCAAATAATTCGATAGCTTTTGAAGATTTCAACATACATTTTTGTAACACGCATATTTGTAATAACCACTTTATATACAAAACAAAATTTCATTCTCTTATATGGTAATATGGACGTCGTAATAGATCTGACTGAATGCTTGACATGCCTGTTTCAAAAACGTTTCCTAAGTTATCTTAAGATATGCCTAAGTTATAACTTTAGAAGTTCCTAAGATTTATCACAGCTGTATCACGAAACAATCTTATCTAAAAAAAAATTTATAAGTCATTTCTTAAGTTGTGCCTTTAAGGACTAATAAAATAACATTCCCGCTCTATATACAACTCTCAGTATGGTATATATTTTTAGATTCAAAAAGAAAGGGTGCGAGGATTAGGGATTGCCCCCACTTTTAAAGGATTTGGACACAAGTATGCTTAACTTTGCGAAGTGTTTTGCTAGATCTAAGCATTCACAGACACACCCTTTCAAGCCATCTTCCCTTCCGAGCACACGATATTTGTATTTTAATTTTTAAACATTGTTCTAGGCGTTATACATTTACTTTATTTTGTTCTTATAAGGTATCTACATGTAAATAAAATTTTAAAATGAATGCTTCGTAGCGAACACATGCGAGTTTATATTTTTCAAACAATCTTTGCCAATTACTACACTGCATGTACATGCTAGTTGTTTGTGTGGTGTAGAGCAACAATGTATTTCAACATCGAGGTGCCCGCGGCTCTCTGTGGCCACGTGTATGTAAACGAGGACTGGACTACAACACTTAAAGACACAAAGCGGCAGAGACGGATGAAACTGTTTGCTATATTACAAAGACTTGAATTATAGTACATGTATATTTGAAGGAATTTTTATTTATGTTAATGTTTATTTAATTCTATAAATAATAAATGGACATTCACAAGAGTGGTGGTAAAAATAATATGTGCGTAGCATGCGTAGTAATTACAATTATTTACCGAAGCCCCCATTCAATTACAATTGCAGATGAATTAAAATACAACAACACGGGATAGAGCAATACTTTTTTTAAATGTATTGTTGCGTGAACAGACAAAAACAGCGATTAAAATTCAAAATGATTTTTATGCACCAGTGTTTGGAATTAAGATTATAAAAGATCGGTAAAGTAATCTTACTGATTCGATATAATTAAAAACATAACTTTCCATTAATTAATAGCTCTTTGTACAAAATTGACATTATACGCGATCACAAATACTAGCTTTGTTTATGGTCACAGGTGGCTAGTACACTGGTGACCTCGATCAACAGCGTGGGATTCGCGCGTTGGGTTACATAACTAAACATCGAGCTGAACATGGAGACCGTAATATGCATACAGCTAATGATCGTGAATTATTCAATGCATACAGTTTAAAATCACTTACAAAGTTTGTTGTAATAATAAACGTAGAAAGATAGATTTAATATTCTCCGCTTTTGAACACTATTAACCTAATTTAAAAAAGAAGAAAAGAAAGACTAGTTGTAATAAATAATTTAATAGTGAACCATAAACCACGTTTTAAACCTTATTAAAAAGAAAATTAACATTAAATACCGCAGGGTATATTATTGATAGCAAGTCTGTTTAAGTTATACACATGAAGAGGTCTAATTTCCTTGCCGAATGAAAAACGTTACCTGTTTACCTGGCCTGCTTTCTAATACGTATTACGCAATACCCATGGTATACTCGAACAAAACAACATTTTCATTAGATCAAAAAGGTGTAAAAGAACAATTTTGTTCCCAAGATCCAGATCGAAATATTTACCGTTTTTGAGTTATAAAGCAAAAACTTTTAAGGGCCCAAGATCCCTAATCATAGGGGCCAGCCCCTTTTAAATAGTATAATATGAAAGCCCTTGCAATTATGCGCAACTTTTGTTCTACATGTCTTAACAAAATATTTCTAGTATTCAAGATATAAAGGAAAATATGTCAAATTTTTTGCTGTTTTCCGCGTTCTAACTTTTGACCCCTCTCTAGCGCCATTTTTAATGCAAAAATCAAAAAACAAAAACCGATGTGCACAACTTCAATGCTTCCTCTTTTCAATTTCAAAGGGTTTTGTGCTCCAATTATAACCATTTCTGAGCCTTTGTCTGGAAATGGGAGGCATGCAAAATTCAATCAAAGGGGAATAACTCGTGAACAGAAGGTAATTTCCGAATTGTATTACGGTATTCTGACAGTGTTTTGTAAAGTCTAAAAGCTCTGAAAATTTGAACAAAATCTGTTTAAAAATGAGGAAGATATGAAGCGTCAAAGTTGGCGTCTAGGAAAAAAAAAAAAAAAGAATAATCTTAATCATCACAATCAGTAGAAGGTCTTCCGTTGGAAACGGAAGACCTTAATAAGAGTGTGGTATAATTAATGTCTGGTTTGTCTTTGGGAGATTGTTCTTTATGGAGAAACTCAAATGAGGCACAAGAATAAAAGTGTCACCAAGTCCACTATTCCAAATAAGGAGGACATGAAAATGATGCAAGATCCTTTGATAAAGATTGAGACTTTAAAAATCTGGTAATTATGGCAATCAAAATTTAAAATCAGTGAAATTCAAGTTTTAAATACATGTTTTCTATAGAAAGGAAATGATTTAGACAATGATAGCATGTAGCTAAGCTTTGATGTGATATCAATGTTATGTTATCCATTGCTAAATCATTCTACAAGATAAATGCTCCCCATGTGGTACTCCTTTAAGACACACTCCCTCTGCAGGGGTCAAGGGTCATAAAAGTGTTGCCTTGATGTGATTGGTTGTTTTTGTTTATCACATCTTGAGGGACCTGCAGCTGAGAAATAATTGTTAATGGAGAAACATTCAGATAGTTGGTAACAGTGCTATAAGAGTATTATATAATTTGCACTGGGGAGAGTTTGTATTGATAGTGCATGGTTTGTTAAACATTGTACTTTCAACTAGAAAGAGTTTGCGAAAACATGAACTTGGAGTATGAATGAACAAGCTGATGTGTTGGAATAAATGTTTTGTGTATTGGGAAATATTGCAGGGTGAGTTCTTTAACCTGCATGTTTAATGGTTCTTGCTTTTAAATTTATCATGTCAGCAATACTGGGAAAATAAATTTAAAAACTATTTATTCTATCTTAAAATTAATTTTAGACTGCTGATGGGAAATATGATATTAAAGTTACTAATCTGGTTTTTTTTTTTTTTTTTTTTAAAAAGTTATTCAGTTGACACAATCATTTTGGCCCAAGACTTCATAAGCTTTATGAAAAGAAGTTTTGTTACTTGTGAATGTTTTTCAACATCATGTCGTCTGCATGTCAGCCAGGTTATCTGTTTTATGAAGTTCGGGAGGTTTAAAGTTAATCTGTAGAAGGCAAGAAAATCCAATTATTAAATCCAATAAAGTTCTCATGGTGTAACAATACAATATAGAGAGCCCTCTCTGCCAGAAAGGTCATCAACAGTCCGCCTTTATTTCCATGCATAGTAACTCTATTATTCCATGTCTTTCAGAGACAGTTTAAAAGATAATTGAATTCCTTTTCATGAAATGTCATATTTATTGCTCAGTCAATTGAGGAAAAACATTAACTTTGATGACTGTTGTAAGCCTGACCTGCTGCTTGGGAAAACATGGGGTCTCTCTTCCAGGATCTTTTTATTGGTACCCTGTTGGGTTGTAAAACTGGTACCCCATGAAGTGGTCAGTCAGTTAATCAGTCTGATCCCTGCTTTATGGTTCTGTGGAGGATTGTTCAGAAGAAGCTAATTGAATTCCAGGATTAAAATGCATATCAGAAAGGAGAACAGGTGGCCCAGTCATGGGGGAAGTGTCCAGACATAAAAATGTCATAAAGTAGATTGTCCAGAACCCTAAATCACTAAATTGGTCAGATACTGACCAAGCCAGAGTCTGCTGGAACCACTAAATCACTCCGATACTGACCAGACCAAGGTCTGCTAGAACCACTAAATCAATCTTAGTCTGGCTTTTATCATGGAACTTTAAACAGAATTTGCTCTGATAGGAGACTATTAAATAGTCATGAAATGAGTTAATGGCAACAGTTGATTTTGGGCTCTGGTAAAAAGTTCAGTGATGCAGATTCATATCCATCTCCAATTAATACCAATCACCAGTCAAAAAGAAAAAGTAATCTCTTTACACAAATTGGTGAATTTAGACAAATTAACCTGCATTGACACAGATGTGGATAAATGTGTTAACTTGCAGCATCAAAGAATACCAACCAAACACTCTCTTTTGATTGAAGGTGAGGTATGTCACACCTCTTGTTTGTAATAGTCAAAATACCCTAGAACCAACCTGTTATGTAAATAATCATCTAATTAAATACAGCCTCCCAATTACCTATGTCTGGGCAATATTTTTAGTATTGTTTTAACATATTGGATCAAGACTGAAGCATGTTCTTAGATAATGATTGGTCAATTCAGGAAAGAAAATTCATGAGTATTTTGAATGTTGAGGAAAGAGTGAAAGTGTGATAAAGACATCATAATGTAGGAATTTCCATGACTGGATAGTGATCACATTGTGATATTAATATTAAGCAGACAGTATTATAGTTGTGAACGTCAGAGAAAAGTACTAGGGTATTATTTTTTTTAATGAGGTTGATGAGTTGTAGTTATAGGTGTAGTGAATGCCATCAGCAGGGATGATAAATTGCTGATCTAACAAGCTCTATTTTATCTTTTCTCCCATCAATTCATGATAAAAATTCACTTAAAATGAAATAAAAAATCTTGCTCAGCACGTGCATACAATCTAGGAATGTATGTGTATCGCTTCTTATTTATACTTACATAATTAATCACTCTTACTGTTTATAGTTTGGTGCCAAAAAAAACGCATAGCAACTGTTTGTATATAAATTTTGTTTATTTTATTGGAACCAGAAATTCAGACAGAAGAAATTAAGAATGATCACTAGGATTGAGAAAGAATTCAAACTGACGCGGAATTTGAGAATCGTAAATTTTAGACAGGTGTGAAAATCTCCCTCTCTGATGCTCAATGCAGAGGCGAAGTTGCCAAGAATTTACATCCCTATGAACTTCTCTTTTAATAATTTGCATGGAAATTAATATCATATGCACTTCAAAATTTTTAGATTTATGAACTAGTTTATAATAGACCTCTTTAGCTTTATCAGTTCATCAACAAATTGCTCCACATGTGAAGAGATGTCTGTTGAACTTTGGTTTGTATCAAGACATCACCTGAAGAAATCAGAACAACTTGTTTTCTCTAGCTGTGGCATTTTGTGCCAGTTAGAATTTTTAGAGTTTGTAGGAGTTAAAGAATTGTGTGTAATAATCCAACTGCAAACTAAAAAATGCCAAGGAAACTTAAAAAGCCCAGACAAAACAATATACACATTGTGTGGTTGGAGAGAGAGAGCTCAAAAAAAAAGATTAGAGTTTTTGATCTTAGTTAATTTTATATAATTTTTATTTTTCCATGTATGACTTCTGTTACTAATTGAAATACAAAACGGAGATTAAATAGAACATTAAAAGGGTGTTCTCATTTAGTTACGTCTGCTTTGTATTCTTCCCACACAAAGCTCTGGTGGTCAATTTTCTTTGATGGAAATGAAACATATTGCTCTAACAGGATCATATTTTACAACTTCTATCAAACATTTTTCCAGATAAAATTACTCTCTTGGTAGGTGTATAGATGTATTAACTTTCCTTTTGATAAAATTTCTAAAATTTGAACTAAATGGAGATTTGATTTCAAAGAAAGAAATTGATGAAATACTAGATTAATGTTATGGAAGTAATTAGAAATTAGAATACAAGTGCTAAATCATTCAAATTGTGGAGAAACAGTATTTGATTTGTCAAGGATTTGTTGTTTTACTGCCTGACAACTAACTGCCTGACTAACCAAGAAATAACTGCTGACTAACCAAGAAATAACTGCCTATAAACTAACCATGTGTTCTATTGAGGGATAGATGAGGGTGTTTAATTATAGAGGTAGTATCCCAGTGGACATGGCTGTAGATATTGACAGATCAGAATCAATAACCAATGGTCAAACTTCACAAAATATCAGCCATAGCTCTAACCTTGATAACTTGTGGATTCTATGGACCAAAGGTCAGTCTCTGTCTGGGCTCTTAGGTGCTGCAGAAATGTAGACTTGTTGTCCATAGAAGTGTGGTCAAATGGAATGATACATACCATTTAGTTTCTGATCTAACACCCAATTTTTTTTACCGATAATTTCTATTTATTGATGTGTTTGATGAGTTGGCACCTTTTTTAAAGGGAGGGGGATGGGTGGTGGTAGAGGTGGCTATTAGGACTTAGATCTTTTTATGTTATAAAAATTAGCTCAGCATGCATATAAAAAAGTTAATCTTGATGACCTTTACCCTAAGCATCGTATCTTGGTTGTTAGGTATTAACCATTGTGTGTGCCATCATATTCCATTAATTAGTTATTTAAGATGTTAGGACCATGGAGTTTAATGACCTGCAGATGTCAGAGTTTCAAGTTTAAAAGTTTACTGATGAAATTGGATTATGATTTGATGAAAAGTTTGTTTATACCAGCAGTAAATATTTATTGGTGTGTGAAGATGATGAATTTGATGGGAAACATTTCGGTGACATTTGTGTAAACACAGTGCAAAATTGATCGTTAAATCTGTAGAATCTAGACCTTGAGTACCAATGGAAAATGATATTTAATGAAGAATTTATTGGTAAAAGAATCAAGTGACCAATATTTGATCCTATCTGAATCTCTGTGATGGTCCTATAAAGTGTGGATTCTTAATGGGAGCCAGACTCTCTCTGAGTAGAACTGGCTCCAGGATCTAGGACTGTGAGGCACCGTTCTCTAAAAGTGGACAGGGGACTGATGTGGTATGAAATCTTTATGGATATGGTATTTCTGGATGTGGTTTCTACAGTCTCCATTTATATTGTTTATGTGAGTTCAGCATGCTTTCTCCCCATGTCATCTGGCCAGCATCCAATTTGTCAGTAATAAAAAATAACTCATTTTTCTTTAACTCTGAAATGTGTACAACAATCTGGTTTCTGCTGACATATCTTACTCCATAACTCACAACAAATGTTGGTGTATAATTTTGAGTTTCTGTTTAAAGGGTCATAAATTGGAAACTTAAGAACTTTGAAGATTGAAAGGTAGATCTTGTTACATAAACCCCTTGATTAGACAATAGCTTTCTTGTTTAACAAGAGCAACAAGCATCCGACCTGAAAAACTCCTCTTTCAAGTGTTTTGTGAAATGTTTGCGAGAAGGAACTTAATATTTTTTCATACATCAGTACATGGTGTTGTTTTTCTAATTCTTGATGAAGAGTGGAACAAATTAAAGTATAACTTGGATCTTAAGTGATTCTATTTTGGAAACTTTTCTAAAGCAATGTGAATTTTAATCCCAAGGATTCCGGCAAGAAGAAGGTAATTTGTGTGAATTATAGTAATATCAGCTGTTTTCCCACACTCACATCTCAGGCTTGAGGTGCTTTTCTTTGTACATGTATTAATAAATAAATTTATTCTTTAATTCTTTTTTAAGTTCCAAATTTATCACATGAAGTTGGACAAAAAAACTTTGAAATTTTTCAAGTTTATAAATCTTATTCACTGTGTAGTATACATGTACCGGTACTAATTTAGATTGGTGATGAGAAAAATGAACTCTTCCCTGCAGGATGATATTAGTAGTATTTAAGCATTCTGAATCCACATTGATTTTATGGCATTATAGTAATCTTTGTGCATTGTGCTGCAAGTCAGAGGAAATTCTTACAATAGATCTACTTTTATCTGCCTGAATGTTCTACTCAGTGTACCTTGATACGGTATTAGATAGCTTAATTTAAAACTTGTGTGCTAATTTTCATGTGTCAATCTTTGACTTCCAGAGAAATGTTATCTTCCTTTAAATGCACAGTAGAGGTCTTGCATGAAAAGCTTTATCTAATGGTGAGAATATACAGTGATTTATCTAGTTGTCTA